CTTTCCTGGAAAGAACGTAATTATAGAAGGAGGACGACCGGCAAAGAGAGTTGCCAGAACTTAAAGCACAAACCAAATTTGTGAGTAAATTTAATTTGGAACAGTATTCTAAAACAGTGGCTATCCGGGTGCCGTAATATGGGAAAATTGTTTTGTTGACCATGCCTATTGTTTCTCAAGGAAAAAATGTATGGAACAAGACTGGGTTTGGTGATATCAGCAACCTTTATATAGCATTGAAACGACATGAGAACTCTCAGACTTACATTATTTCAACAATGCAACTTATATTCGGGAAATCTCGAATTGACTGTCAACTTGACAATCAAAAGCGCCTGACGATACTACATAGAGAAATAATGAAACGCTTGATTGATATCATCTGCCATTTAGGAAAGTGGCAACTTGGCCTCCATGGTCATGATGAAAGCGTGGAGTCTGTCGACCGAGGTAATTATGTGGAATTAGTTCACTTGTTGAGGAAATATGATCATAAACTCAATGTTCTCCTTGAGAACAGTACAGTATTTACAGGTTTATCGAACAGAATACAAAACGACCTTACTGACTCAATAAGTAACGTAAATTTTGGTGAGCTGATTGCTATCAGTTCGTTTATTAGATACCAGTGCTTAAAGTAAAAAGTAAAGCTATCCCTGTAACAGGCCATGAAGGCCCGTAGGGTTGTGAGACGTTGAGGGTCCCACATTATCTAGACCAGCCGTGTCAAACATGCGGCCCCCATAGCCACAAAGTGTGGCCCCTCAACTTTTAGAGCTAATTGATATTAAAATCAATATCAAAATTTTAGTAGAAATATTTTTTGTGAAGACAATTTTCCAACAGACCAGAAGACAGTAGGTCTCACGCAGACATAAATTAGCAGGCTACAGGAAAAGTGATTCTGAGAATTGCAGAAGGGTTCGTCCAACTAACGGTTTGTAAAGTTCGTGAAGGACAAACTGTTGTATTTCAGAAGGTTAATGCACTAAAATCCGCACAGCCTCACACCCCCAAGTATTTCCAAGAATCCCTTTTGGAGGCGTAGTAAGAATGCAAGGAGGGTGGCAACTGGCAGACAACTGCAAGGGATTTCTACCTTCAAAACTAGCTTGAAACCCCCAGCCCTTTTCTAATGGGCTGCTAGCAAACTTTCATTTTTATGACCATTGAGACAAGATACACCTTCCTATTAGTCCGGTAGTCTCTTGTACAGTGTCATTCAGTTCATTTTNGTGGCCCTCTGTACAAGTTGAGTTTGACAAGCCTGATCTAGACAGTCGGCTCAAAGATGGCGGTAAGGTTGTCAGCCCTACGCGCCGGCCGCGCTTCACTCACCAGGAAAATTATTTTGTATTTAATTCCTGGTACATATTTCTGTTAGAGGCTGAGTGAACCCCAGGGCCATAGTGCGGCCGGAAGGATTAGGCCAGTTGAAAAAATCCAATCACCTAATCGGTATTTCAACCCGCTGTTGTGCCCGGATAGGGGTCAGTGACCGTACTCACCCCCTATCGGACGTCCGTGGATATCTCTTAACCTATGCTGTGGAAAACATGCTTGCACTAGGGGAATCCACAAACAGTTTGAGTACTCACCAACAACAATAAAGTAATGTATAATAAAACAAAACACTAGTACATCAAACAACCTGGCTATACACACAGGACCTTCGATTAAACCCCTGGTTTTAAAATCCTACCTTTTAACTACCCATAATATACTAACCCTAAATGACACAAATCAACACTTTGTATTTATTTCTCAAATAACCATTGAACCAAAAGCTCTAATCATCAATCAGTGACCCGACCACGGCAGGTACTCACTCGCGCTGAACAGGATGCACAAGAACAACACTGGCGCCATCCCAAGGTTTTCTCCAGGCACACTTGGATCTACCCGTCCGTGTTTTGCAACTGCTAGAAACGGAGTGCCTGAAACGGACTATTTTTTTCCAATCACAAAATTCAAATTTTTTCCCAAGTCGCGAAAGCTGCGCGCGCGAAATCCCTGTGGTCGGCAACTTGCCGGACATGCCTTGTCGCGCGAAGCGAAACCTGACCGGGTCTTTCCACTGATGCGTAAACAGTCTTTTCTAAAGACAATTCGATGGACCGACAAGGAATGCGAAGAGTCAGCCGCGGCTCTGTCTCCTCGCCTTCCGGCCAGCCGTCTGGCGTTTTAACCTAAGTATCCAATCTTACAAAAATTATACTTAATAACTAAGAAAATGGGCACAACACCGCGACCTTCCGACTTGTAGCACACTGCGATACCACTGCTTACCTTACCAAAATAGTACGGCACCAACTACGCTACCGCATGGCCCCTTCAGGACCCAAAACTTCACTTTCACTGCTTCATTTTGTGAGCTTGTTTGTCGTGGCCGCCTTGAGATGGAGCGGCAGGCCGGTGGGACGGTAGCTTTGTCGCCCGCAGCGCATCCTCTTGTTCATTCAGTGTTAATAACAGAGCAATAGCGTTGCTAATAGTCGCTACCGAACTTGCTTGACACGCCTACACCTCAGGTGAGGAGGTACAGCCACCCACAACACCTCACCCGTACAGTTCACGCTAAAACATTGTGCATTCAGAAGAGTTTATTTATTTCGACACGCCTTCAATATCTCAAAGCATACAGAGTAGATTATTACTGAATAATGAATTGGAAGGAGGCTGACGTGGCTCTGTTTAAGGCCCATCTGCCAGGAGGGACTGAGGCAGACAACAGGGCTCCTACCCGAGATATGAGCCCGGGACCTTCAGAATACGAATCAGGACTGCTACTCACACGAGCGCGACTTATCGTTGATATATGATATCAGTGGTGGGCATACAAACGTAATGTAACTGAAGTATCACTGAAGTCCCCGGATAATGTTACGCAGTGCCAGAAGTCCATAATCGAATTTATGAGAGATAAGTAATAAACCTAAAACTATGATTTTGCTTGTGGTTCGCTACGGGTGTGGAACTTGGTCTCTGACATCAAGGGAGGAACATAGACTGAGGGTGTTGAGAATATTTGGACCGAAGAGAGATGAAGTGACAGGAGGTTGGAGAAAACTGCGTAATGAGGAACTTCATAACTTGTACTCTTCTCCAAGTATAATTAGAATGATCAAGTCAATAAGGATGAGGTGGGCAGGTCATGCAGCACGAATGGGAGAGACGAGGAATGGGTATAGGATATTGGTGGGAAAGCCAGAAGGAAAGAGACCACAGGGAAGACCAAGTCGTAGGTGGGTGGACAATGTTAGAATGGTTCTTAGAGAGATAGGATGGGATGGTATGGATTGGATAGATGTGGCTCAGGATAGGGACCAGTGGAGGGCTCGTGAACACGGTAATGAACCTTCGGGTTCCATAAAATGCTGGGAAATTCTTGAGTAGCTGCAGAATTGGTGGCTCCTACAGAAGGGCTCAACTCCTTTAAGTAAATAAGTAAGTAAGTAAGTTCTCGAGTAGCTGCACAATTGTCAGCTTCTCTAGAAGACCTCAGCTCCATGAATGAGTGAGTGAGTAAGTGTAGCGTTGGAATGGCCATCGACACGACAGGAATATATGGCTTGGCCAGCAGCTGACCTAACGGGACTAGTTCGGACAGAATGTAGAGCGGCAGGAGGAAACAGCCCGATTAGGACCTACCAGCGCTCAGTGTACAACTTTGCAATGCACACAGCACGATTTCAGACGAAAGAGTTGCAGTATAATGTTCCTATAAATCAGGGATGGACAAAATATGGCCCCTTAAATGGATAGGTGTCTGTAGTACATGATGTATATCCTCGAACAACAGAATAATATTTTCATTGCTGTTATTGATTGATATTTAACAATACTGTTCTAAATGCAGAAGTTGTATTCAATCAGACGAGATGGCCAAATTATGTATTTTGTTATTTTATGGACCTCAACACAAATATTTCAAAATAAAACAAATTGTTTACATTGGTTTTATTTAATATCTGCTACATATTTCAGTCCATATTTTGGACCATCCTCAGATAGTTTTATTAAATAGCCTGGCGATATTGAAATATCCTAATATGGATTTAAAAATATGAATTTTGTTATTTTATGGACCTCAACACAAATATTTCAAAATAAAACAAATTGTTTACATTGGTTTTATTTAATATCTGCTACATATTTCAGTCCATATTTTGGACCATCCTCAGATAGTTTTATTAAATACGCCTGGCGATATTGAAATATCCTAATATGGATCCATATTAATGTTAATCATTATTATCACGTGTTTATGGCTGCGTGAATAATAATAACTGGTTCTGGATTGAATTTATTGACGGCTTCCTTACAGTTACTCTTAATTACAATAAATTACCAGGGATCACCGTCAGCGAGTGCCGAAGACTCGCTCCATTCCTTACTGGACTACGAGTGTCTTCTCTTCCACTGTGACTGACTTGGTTCTGATTTACGAATGAATTACGAAGGACGAATGACGAACGAAGAATGAATGCAGTCTTATCTTCACGGCACCTGTTATAGTGTAGAGCTAACCATGGAAAATGTTTGTTACCTGTCCGTTGACACGGGAACGTGTTACGTACCAATTCGGTCTCCAGGAACCCACATCTCCATATCAACGTGTGTAATTTCGCAGCAACGCTCTGGTCAAGAGTTTACAACTTCCAGTTTTCGTATCTATGAAAACCTCTGCCCAACACCCAGCGACATTTTGGCCAAGAATCTTACCTCCGCGGTGACGTGTTTGCCAGTTCATTTCCTAGAAACGCCTGCATGTCACTTTATAATACGTGTAATTATTATTAAAATTTGTAAAAGTTTTTAAATTTTTTAAGCTCTTTCGTCGTTATAGTGTGAAGTTCCATGTTGTTTGTCTTTGTAGGTGGTGGTTATCTTCCGGGGTTCGCTGAAAAGTTTTTATATGTTACTGGTACGATTCACTTATAATAGTATTTTTAGTTTTTATGTATAATGTTTCTTCTTGCCTTCTTGAATGTGACGTCATGATTGAGTGCACATTGAAACTAGGAACAAAAACAACACATAAACGTGCACCCTACGAGAAGTACACATCACACTCTGAAGAGAAGGCGGAAAGAACTCAGTTCACGCTGTCACATCAAGAAGGCAAGGCGAAGCACATACATGTAAAACTCACTCACGGATCTGAGCCCTTTTTGAGAACCTGTCAATTGTGCAGCTACTCAAGAACTTCCCAGCATTTTACGGAACCCGAAGGTTCATTACCTTGTTCAGAAGAGCCCTCCACCAGTCCCTATCTTGAACCAGATCAGTTCAATCCATACCATCCCATCCTATCTCTCTGAAGTCCATTTTAATATTGTCCACCCACCTACGTCTTGGTCTTCCCAGTGGTCTCTTTCCTTCCAGCTTTCCGAACAATATTCTATATGCATTCCTTCTCTCCCTCATTCATGCTACATACCCTGCCCACCTCTCCTCCTTGACTTGAACATTCTAATTATACT